AAACTATGGTTAAGTCTGTCCATGTGTTGTGAGATCAAGGAGTTTTCATCATGTCTTCTGAATGCTAGTTGGTGTTCATGGATGCGGTCTGCAAAAACCCTCTTTGCTGATGACTGTGTGCTCCTGGTGCACAAAGGCAGGCTTGCATATAAGTCATTTACTGATCAGATGGGGAAAAGGCCTGGGTTTCTTTCGCAGCATCTTTGTGGCACTTGCATGGTTGACCTCGAGGTCTCTTCCCAGACTCCAGTACACTATAGCATAATTGGAAAGGCATACAGTGGTCATCCATTCTGATGACGTGTCCCACCCACATCTGTGCTCTGATAATCAGGGACACAATGGACTCCATGCGATCCAAGACCTTCATGTAGGAGACATGGTCTTGCCAATGAATGCCAAGGATGGAGCAGCGAGTGCGCATGTGAAATTTCTCCAGTTGTTTGATGTGCCTTCGGTACAGAGTCCAGGACTCACATCCATATAGGACATAAGGGATAACCACAGCTCTGTAGACATTCAGCTTTGTGGAGATATGGATGTTGTGTTGATAGATTGCTCTAGTTTATAGCCGCCCCTGGCCGGCCTTGCTGATCCTAGAGTCAATTTCTTTGTCCAAAGACCCATCACTCAAGATGATGCTTCCCAAGAATCTGAAGCTGTTTACATTTGTCAGCTGGGTGTCATCAACAGTGATTTTTGGTTCTATGGGGTTGGAATTTGGCACAGGCTGGTAAAGTACTTCAGTCTTGTTCAGGCTAAGAGTCAGGCCAAAGAGCATAGCAGCATCTGAGAATTTGTTCAGCTACAGATGACTGCCTTTGTGCACCAGGAGCACACAGATATCAGCAAAGAGGGTTTCTTGGATGACTGTATGGAGGCACTTCATCTGTGCCTTCAAGTGGTGAAGGTCAAAGATGTCCAATCGGTGCCTGATGTAGATTCACTCCTTCAGACCCTGGACAGCATGTGACGACATGCAAGCAAAGAACTGATTGAACAGGACTGGGGCTAGC